GATATATATATCTATATATAGATATATATATCTATATATAGATATATCGACCGATCGATATATCGATCGATCGATATAGATATATATATCTATCGATATAGATATATATATATCGATCGATATAGATATATCGATCGATCGATGTAGATATATCGATCGATCGATGTAGATATATCGATCGGTCGATGTAGATATATCGATCGGTCGATAGATATATCGATCGGTCGATCGATATATATATCGATCGATATATATATCGATCGATATATATAACGATCGATCGATAGATCGATAGATCGATAGATAGATCGATAGATCGATAGATAGATCGATCGATCGATAGATAGATAGATAGATCGATAGATCGATAGATGGATAGATATGGGTGTGTGTACAGGTCATTCTCAAAAAATTAGCATATTGTGATGAAGGTCATTATTTTCCATAATGTAATGATAAAAATGAAACTTTCATATATTTCAGATTCATTGCACACCAACTGAAATATTTCAGGTCTTTAATTGTTTTAATACTGATGATTATGGCATACAGCTCATGAAAACCCAAAATGCCTGTCTCAAAAAATTAGCATATCATGAAAAGGTTCTCTAAACAAGCTACTAACCTAACCATCTGAATCAACGACGTAACTCTAAACACCTGCAAAAGATTCCTGAGGCTTTTAAAAACTCCCAGCCTTGTTCATTACTAAAAACCGCAATCATGGGTAAGACTGCCGACCTGACTGCTGTCCAGAAGGCCATCATTGACACCCTCAAGCAAGAGGGTAAGACACAGAAAGAAATTGCTGAACGAATAGGCTGTTCCCAGAGTGCTGTATCAAGGCACCTCAGTGGGAAGTCTGTGGGAAGGGAAAAGTGTGGCAGAAAACACTGCACAATGAGAAGAGGTGACCGGACCCTGAGGAGGATTGTGGAGAAGGGCCGATTCCAGACCTTGGGGGACCTGCGGAAGCAGTGGACTGAGTCTGGAGTAGAAACATCCAGAGCCACCGTGCACAGGCGTGTGCAGGAAATGGGCTACAGGTGCAACAGCGGCAGAAGCGCCTGACCTGGGCTACAGAGAAGCAGCACTGGACTGTTGCTCAGTGGTCCAAAGTACTTTTTTCGGATGAAAGCAAATTTTGCATGTCATTCAGAAATCAAGGTGCCAGAGTCTGGAGGAAGACTGGGGAGAAGGAAATGCCAAAATGCCAGAAGTCCAGTGTGAAGCACCCACAGTCAGTTATGGTCTGGGGTGCCATGTCAGCTGCTGGTGTTGGTCCACTGTGTTTTATCAAGGGCAGGGTCAATGCAGCTAGCTATCAGGAGATTTTGGAGCACTTCATGCTTCCATCTGCTGAAAAGCTTTATGGAGATGAAGATTTCATTTTTCAGCACGACCTGGCACCTGCTCACAGTGCCAAAACCACTGGTAAATGGTTTACTGGCCATGGTATTACTGTGCTCAATTGGCCTGCCAACTCTCCTGACCTGAACCCCATAGAGAACCTGTGGGATATTGTGAAGAGAAAGTTGAGAGACGCAAGACCCAACACTCTGGATGAGCTTAAGGCCGCTATCGAAGCATCCTGGGCTTCCATAACACCTCAGCAGTGCCACAGGCTGATTGCCTCCATGCCACACCGCAATGAAGCAGTCATTCATGCAAAAGGATTCCCGACCAAGTATTGAGTGCATAACTGAACATGATTATTTGAAGGTTGGCGTTTTTTGTATTAAAAACACTTGTCTTTCATTGGTGGGATGAAATATGCTATTTTTTTGGGACAGGCATTTTGGGTTTTCATGAGCTGTATGCCATAATCATCAGTATTAAAACAATTAAAGACCTGAAATATTTCAGTTGGTGTGCAATGAATCTGAAATATATGAAAGTTTAATTTTTATCATTACATTATGGAAAATAATGACCTTTATCACAATATGCTAATTTTTTTGAGAAGGACCTGTAGTTTCCTCACCTTTGGAAGACCCATTGATTCAGAGAGGTCTTCCTGTCTGCGGGCAGTTTAACAGTGTTTCCCCTACCGTTATACAAGCAGGGCGCCATGCCCTGTCAACAGAACCAAGCACCCTGCCTACCGCCCCACCCCAACTTCCCACAATTACGTAGCGCTAAGCTAACGGTGCGCAATACAGACGCGCTATCTAAAAAACTTCAGTTAACACCCTGTTTCCCCCAAGCTGAGCCGTATCTACCCACCCACCCCCTGTCGACAAAATTCACGGATGATATAAGTGCCCTGCCAAGGCAAGTAAACTAGGGGAAACACTGTAATACTTTCTCTTTCTCCCCCAGGGGAAAGGCAACAGTATATACCAACCACTAGCAAGATGGAAAAAGCAAAATTTAGTTGATATTTCATTCCAGTGTTTCCCTAGGTTACTTGCCTTTGGAGGGTGCTTGTCTCTTTGGCGTTTGGTGGGCGGGGTTAGTTTGTAACCGTGACAACCATACGCTACATTTGTATTGCACATGGTTGTCGTGGTTTGTGGTCTAAAGCTCCCCAATCGGAAGCGGCAGAGCTGCATGGGGGGTGGGGGATTTGGTAGGCAGGGCGCTCGGGTCTGACAGGGCAGGGCGCCCTCCTTGAATAATGGTAGGAGAAACACTACACTCTATATTTAACACATCCTCAGGTACTATAAAAATGTTACCATTCTGGTAAATTAAAGACATGTAGGGGATTTCATTCCTTGATATCGTGAAGCACTGATGTAGGCTAATCAGAATCAGAATAAACTTTATTGGCAATGCACCGAGATACAACGCGAACATGTACGTACAGTCGTCCGAAGATGGGCGGAATGCACGAAGCTGCGGCTAAAATAATTTGCGCAGCCTTCTTATTCTTATTCAGAATAATATTTTGCTTAGATAAGAAAAGGAAAGAAAGCATGAGGAGAGACGGTATAAAAAAAAGATCTCTCGCACCGTGTCCTAGACAGGGCACAATTTGAGGCATCAAAAAAAGTTCTCATAAAGATCTCTGCTAATTTATTGAAGATTTTCAATGATTCTCCTAAAATACAAAAAAAGCCATTGTAATGCTTCTTTTTGTTGTTGCAGTGGTACATGGTGACTCTTGTTCACACCTACAATCGCCTGTTACTTGTTATGACTACAGCTTTTATCGTTCTGTTCAGTTTTATGTAAAGAGTTTTATGTAATTTGAATAAGTGTCAATATATTTATTATGTAAATTAAGTGAACAGGTAAAATTTTAAAGTGGTTTTTGATTCTGTTAATTTTCTCAAAACTGTAGGTTTTGAAAGTTGAAATTAAAAATTATGTTAATTAAGTTAGTCTTGAATTAAGAATGCCCCATTTTTAAAAGTATAAAAATTGTATTGACACCATTAAAGAACAGATCTTAAGTATTTATGTTACACAAATATTTCCATTGCATTAAAGAGAAAATTATTTAATAAACATGAGTGTTATGAGGGGGTCCCTGAAACTTGTTCTCTGTAAGGGGTCCCTGAACCCAAACAGTTTGAGAACCCCTGCTTTAAATGACACAGTGACAGTGGTAATGTGTTAAAAAAAAGATCATACATTCACATATACATCCTCCTATGTGTTCCTAGCAGCCCCTGGATCCCCCCCCACTGCAGCTATCAATCAACTTTCCATTTTGTTTGGTGGCAGCAGACATCCCAAACACTGCTATTAGTGGCCTGGCCTCTGACCTGGGCCCTGGAAACCTTCAGCACAAATACCCCTCTCTTGGACCTCTGCAACTCATCCTACTATTGGTCAGTCTAGACATGTTGGTGCATTTAAAGAACTCAACTGCCATCATTTGAGGTTTGTAAGGTTGCAGACAAATAATGCTGCAACCTTTTTTTGTTTCTTTAAAAAAAAAGTCTTAATTGATTCTTCCCCCCATTCTTGTACTCACTGGTGCCCTCGATCAGCAGCTCCTGTCCATGGCTGCCCAGAAGAGTACGAGAGAGAAACGGGGCAAAGTCGACAAAGATCTCCCTCAGCAGAGGAGCAGCCTTTTCAAGAGCGTGCTCCAGACGCTCTGAGATACTGAATGAACAGTAGACACACGGATCACATGAGTGGGTTTTAACTATTCAAACCTCTGTAGCACTTAGGTGAGCAGTCACAATGCAATTCAAAAATCAAAAAATCTCATTTTATTGTGACGGAAATGCATTAAATTAGGAAATGAGGCAATAATGAGAAAATATGCATAACTGAGTGTGACCATGTGCATAAACAGCTGATGGTGCACGTGCATGCAGCAGAGAGGGAGAGGGCAAGAAAGAAGATGAATCACCTCATATTGGGGGTGGTGTTCTGGGTCACAGAGGAGAGTGGTGGGACAGATGGCAGGCTGGTGCTGGCTGGAAGCTGGTCGCCTGCTGCAGGGAGAATCCAGAGAACACTGTTATTAGTCTGGATGTCGGACAAGAACACGCACAGGGATACGATACGCAGAACCAGGCTGCACCAGTAGCTTGTTTGGAAATGTGACTTTTGTGAGGTAACAAAATAATTCAAATGTGGAAAGATCTGAAATGGATGTCTGAAAAGATCAAGTAGGAGAAAAAGTATAATTTTATGTTGAAATAACAGGTACTCTTCTGACGGTGTTCAATAATGATTTATAGTCAATGGTTTTTGTAAAAAAAAATACATAAAAACACAATAAAAGCTCTTGGATTATATTTAATTTGTTGTTTAGTCAATTAAAGATGGAAAACATTTTATGTATGAACTCTGCTGAAACATTCTGATTTATGCTAACAAGGTTGAGTCAGGTCCTCTGGATGGATTCTTCTTCTTGAGATGTTTCGTCTTTCATCCAGAAGACTTCATCCGTCCGATTAGATTTTTCTACTTGGTTATTGAGCATGAATCAAGATATTATGATCCACTTTCGCCATGGCTGCCTCAGACGAGTCAGCGGGGAGAGGATGGACTCTAGAATCCATCTGAGCACCATCAAACTGGTTGATCCACTATGAAGGTGGCATTTGTTTGATTTACTCAAACAGTACACTAAAAGTGACAGTACAGACCGTTTAAAATTGGTGTTCTATGAAAAGACTTTGAAAATTAACATCTCACCTGTTGTCAAAAGCTCTTGGAACAATCTTACCGTATTTTCTGGCCTATAAGTTGAGGGGGGTTTTTGCATAATTTGCATGTCCTGCGACTTATAGGCCCAAGCAACATATATGGATTTTTTTTCCCATACTTGTAAACCAATTTTTGGCTGAGATATGACCGTTTTCATTCATTCTGAATGAAAATATTGAACACTACCAATCTCAGCCGCTAGATGGCAGTCGAGCTGTATAGCATGCCGTTGTATCATGTAATAGGTAAAAGTGGCTATCAATGACACAATCGGCTTGCCATAGTCTGACACCGTCATCTTCCTGGACCATCAAATCAGCTTCATTGTGCTACGCCGCACTGGTGAAATGCAGCTAATTTGACCATTGAAGTGAAGTTCAACTGAGACACACCTTTGCTATGATTTCGAGCAAACAAATAATTGTTTTTAGGTGGTTAACTTGTTAAATTTCAAAGAAATGGACAGTGAGTCACCCTCCGCGCCTTCATGTTTCTGCATATCAGCTTTTGAAATGCAGCTGATTTGACCATCAAAGTGCATTTATTAAGGAAAAGTTAGACTGAGACACACCTTTACTATAAAGTCGAGCAAACAATTGTTTTAAGGTGTTAATCTTGTTAAATTCTTGTTAAAGTCCTCCCATGCACGCTTTCGCGGCCACCATTTGGCAGCCAATCGATTTTTGGCACAACACCGACCCACATTTCCGGGTTGTCAGTGGTGACGTATAATAGATGCAACATATACGGAGAAGTGTTGTATTTATGGATTTTTCAACTTTATTAGATATATTTGGACTGATGCGACGTGTACGACGGAAAATATGGTAGTTTGGAGAAATATAATTTGATATTAACAGGGCCAAAACTAAAGTAGATTGATGCCATTTTAAAGGGGATATGTAAAAGTCAACTTTGAAGTGACGAGTCAAATAGTTAACACCTCATCAGATGTGACATCAGTCATAGAGCACAGAGGGTGGAGTAAGAGGCCAAACACTTTGCACAAGCTAGGCTACTTGCTAGCAAAGCAAGGCCCTAGCTTATTTTTTTATTTGTCAGGGTTATAAAACAACACCTTCTCAAAAACAAGATACTGGTTTGAATGAAAGTCCCATTAGATGTTAATAAACCTCCACCTTTTCACATGTTTAGTTTGTGGCTGTTTTCCACCTGATAAGCACATTCAGTCAGTCAAGTTTTCACAGCTCCGACCGGACCGACACAGTCAGCATCATCGACATAAACAGTCCATCTATGCTCAAAGACACATATATGAACGGTAACACAGATGCTCAACTGAAAGAACAGCAACAAACTTAAAGTGTTGTTCAAAATTCTAGAGGCTTAATAATAGCTAATGTAACATTCTTTTACAGTGAGATGCTGTTTTTGACCAAGTTGTTTAATAAGCCTAAAAACAATTTTAAATGAACAAACAGGTGACCCATTTTTTCATTCAGCCTTTATTTATACATGTTAATCTCAGTGAGTCACGGGGACTCATTTTCAAGAGAGACCTGTTTGCTACTCTATTTGGCTACACTTTGGCCTAGCCTAGAAAAATACTTCTGCCTCTTTCTCCAGGTTAGCCGTTAGCCTGGCTAGACAAAAAAAAAACAATTCCCTGTGCAGCAATAAACTTTAGTCTTGGCTCTGATTAGACTAGCCATTTGCTCATTAATCTGGTCAGGCTATAGGCTATTGGGCTGTCGTTTTTATATTTTCTTACAAAAACAATCGACTATAAATCATTATTGAACCCCTTCAGAAGAGCATCTGTTATTTCAACATAAAATTATACTTTTCTCCTACTTAATATTTTCAAACATACATTTCAGATTTTTCCACATTTGAATTAACTTAATTACCTCACAAAAGTCACATTTCCAAACAAGCTTATGGGGCTATATATGAATGGACTACCCTATTTGGCTACACTTTAGCCTAGCCTCAACAAAGACTTTTGCCTCTTTCTCCAGGCCAGCTGTTAGCCAGGCCTAGACAAGAAATAAATAAATAAAAAATTTTTAAAAATTGCCTCTGCAGCAATAAACTTTAGTCTTGTCTATGCTTAGACTAGTCCAGGGCTAATCAACTGGCAGCCCGTGCCGTGGGTGAATTCAGTCCAGCCAACCAATGAGTTCATTAAAGTAAAAGAAAAATTGGGGGGTTGGGTTCTGTTTATTGAATTTACGATTCAATGCAATTAAACTATTTTAAAAGTTAACAGCTCATTGTAATACTTGGTTTATTTACATAATGACTTTAATTACTGGATGCCCGCCCCCTGAGCTGTTGGCTTTCAGAAACTGTGGCCCCCTGAGCAGTTCAGTTGAATAGCCCTGGACTAGCCGTTTGTTCATTAATTGGTCAGAAATAATCAGTGTTCTTCCAAACTGTGGTTGTTAAAGATTTATCGACAACAGGTAACATAAGTAATCACGACCTTTCAACAAAAACCTACTTTTAAAAAATTGGTTCTTAAGTATTGCTTGAAAAAATTTTTTAGGGGGCTATTTCTGCAGGGGGTCGCCACAGCAAGCAAACCTGCACAAAATATTAGTTAATTGTTTTATGCCGGATGCTCTCGCTGACACAACCTAGGCAAAAACCTGAATCACCAAGCTACCACAGCACAAAGTATCACTTTAAGCACTTATGAGGAAAATAGATTTTATATTTGACCTCTCAGTTTAAATGTAAAATAATCTGAAACTTTTTTTTTCCCACTCATTAAATCATTACATTCCAATTCACCTCTCTGGGCTGTTAAGTGACTGTTTCATTATCCACCTAAAAGGTGCTTTATGGCTTAATTCTGAAAACGGAGGCACACAAGGTACAAAGAGTTTGTATGATTGATCTGGCAGTAAGTTCTGTTCCATGTGGCTCATAAATAAGCTAATGCCCAGTTGAATAAAGAGGAGGGGAATTCCTCTGGTGTTTCAGCAGTCTTGTTTTTTCAGCCAGGACGGTCTCTGAGCAGGGATAACTCTTCAGGAATGACAGACAGTGTAATGTGTGCTGGAATGTGTGTGCATGTGTGTATGTAAGGTGTTAACCAGCGCCATGTGGACCTAGCCAGAGCATCCCTCTCGAGCTGAAGTAGCTCCGTTAAACAAAGAAGAGTAAATGAACATCTCCATGAGTTGTCCCACTGCCCCACTAAAACACACACTCAAAGCATATTTACTCAGTGATGACTGCAAGGACCTGATGAAAGCAGCTAAACGTAGCAATATTTAACTTTATTGTGATATACAAAAGGCGTACACTCCTCTACGACGGAGCTTTAGGGCCACGCTAAAAAAACAAACAAAAAAAAAAACAATTAAAAGCCATAAAATTAAGAGAATAAAGTCGTACGAGATTTTTTACATTTTTTTACAGCTCTTGTTTATTTATTTGTTTCCACGAGTTCGATCCACATCTCGACCTGTCAATCAATCCAGTAGGCGTGTCAGCAAATGACCAATCCGAAGCTAAATGAGTTGTAATATTATCCGAACTCCGACACATAAATTAGCAGGTCGACTGCATTTTAACTGTGGTAAAATTAAGAATGTTGAGCATCTTGTTAAGTTATACTTTGGTATTGGTTTTACAAATTAGGAGATATTTAATCTGTTAGCACATCAGCATCAGATTATTTTCAGGACTTTGAACCTGCTTACAGTAAGGCGGTACGCTTGATGGGCTGCAACAGGTCTCTGCAGGTAACGAGCATTTAGTTTCAGATTCGTCTTTTGCTGACACGCCTACTGGATTGACGGGTCGCTTCCTGGAGCCAGCTCGTGGAAAAAATATAAACAAGCACTGTAAAAAAACAAACAAAAAAGTCTCGTATGATTTTATTCTTGTAATGTTAAGACTTTATTCGACTTTATTCTCGTAATACGATGACTATTCTCGTAATTTTATGACTTTTAATTTTTATTTTTCTTAGCGTGGCAATGTAATTTAATTTAATTTAATTTTTTTATCATGGCCCTAAAGCTCCGGTGTACTCCTCCAAACAGACACAATAGTGAATCTATTTTTCAAAAATATAACCAACCTCCTCAAAAACAAGACTTTAAAACACTATTGAAAAAAATGCAGAAAATGTATTGAAAACATGTTCAGACCCACAAACTTATTGTCATGTCTATTAAGTGTTTCATACAAACAACAAAAGGGTACGACTTTATCAACAATTAATTTGTTTAACCAACTGGTTTGGTATCCTGAAGCATGCTCAATAATCCAGGTAGAAAAATCTAAAAAAGTTAAGTCTGGTCCTCTGGACATTCAAAAGCCAGAACAAAACCAAACAAACAAAAAAATTGTAGAAACGTTTCGTCTTTCATCTGAAAGACTTCCTCAGTCTGAGGTGCTGTATTCACCTCAGTCTTATAAATAGCACCTTCTCAGAGTGGACCAACCAATTTGCTGCTAACAACCAAAACCAGCTGTTTTGGTGATTCTACAACATTCAGTAAATTAAAATTAAAACTGTTTAAGACCTTTTAAAGACCATTATGAACCAAATATAAGATCTACAAGTTCTATAAAAGAATTGTCTTTTAAACCAACATTTTTCTGCCTTTAATTTAAAAAATAAATAAATAAATCACTCCAAAATCAATTTAAAAAAATCCAAATACCTTAATTGCCGGTGTATAAGCGGCTTGCACACAGGAGAAGTTTATTTGATTTGATTATAATTTAAATATTTCATTTATATTTTATTTTGACAGGCTTCCTGTTGCTGAATAACATTTTCCTTTGACACACCTGAGCGCTCGTATAGTTACCCAACACCCACCACTCTTGGGGGTGGGTTTTTGTGACAGAGTGAATGCCACAAGAAATCACATGTACCATCCCTCTCGCTCATGGTTCCAATTTTGCTACCCATAATTCCACTCCATCATCAAGTGACCAGAAGTCTAACCTTAATGAACAATGAGGTACTCATTGAATTACGAGGACCCATCCCCCAAGATAGACATGCATCAATGCAGTTACTGTTTATGGTAAGTAAATGTAAAAAATAATAATAAATCTGACCAAAGAAATTACCAGACAGGCCACAGTGGACCAATGAAACTTCTGATTACTAGCTCTTGTAAATGTAATGTACTCGAACTGAATTCTTCAGATCAGTTACCGTATTTTGCGTCTCACGTACAGACCGTGTTAATTTGTTCAGCGATAATGGAAAACACACGGAGAATATCTTATGATGCAGCGTTCAAGTTCAAAGCGATCGATCTGGCTGTCGAAGGAAATGGAACTGGCGCTTGTAAGCCTTGCATAAACGAGTCGATGGTGAGGCGTTTGAAACGACAGCGTGATGAACTGACTCAATGAAAAAAACAACAAAGGTTTTCAGAGGGGGAAAAAAAAAGCAGATGGCCCGAACTTACCGGTACATGGAACGGAGCGGAGACAACGGGAGGGGCTATTCTACCTCCAACTTTAGTCGGGTGGGCTCAGCAGAGTAGAAGTTAAGTCAAATTTATTTTTAAAGCAGTCAGTCAAGACTGGTACATATTTAAATAAAAGTTCTTGTTTTTTTATATTTGTGTACATAACCATCATGGATGATTGAGTTTTAAAAAAACTTTTTATCATGTTACAAGTTCAGAAAGAGAACGGGGTATAAAATAATTTTTTTTTAATCATTTTGGTTACGTAGGTGTTTAGCACTGTTCTGTCCAGTGATTACTGGTACCCTGTTATGATTAGATAGTTCTTGTGTTTATTAAGTAGGTTGAATGGTTATAACCATGAGTCAGAACATCATGACGACTTGGGACGATCACGCAATCCGTAAGTGTGTTGAAAGCAAGCAGAAGTCTACGAAACGCCATCCGGTGGTTGATTCTTGTACTACAAGAAGAGATGCACATACTGCCTGGAGTTGGACAGATTCAGGACACCCACAGCTTAAACACTGATGCGTATTATATATGTACCAAATTGTGTTTTATTTTAAATGTAGTATGTGCGACTTACTGTCAGGTGCGTTCTATAGACCGGCAATTACGGTAATCGTTTTCACAAGCAGAACCAAGTTATTTTTTGAGGAAGCTTGAATGTCAAATTAAATTTTTGTCAACAAGGCTGTTAACTTTATTCACAGAACAAAGTCTATGTTTTATATATTTACAAATAATGTAGAGTCACCCCTGTGTATTATGCCGACCTTGCTTGTTTCAAGTGGATATATTGTACCAGGCGCACAGAGGAATGGAGTGGCCAAATATTGACGTTTTCTTCAGACTCATCTAGACTCTAGCCTCATTCAAACACTGACTTGTTACTACTATAGTTCCAGTATTGTAATAATGCCGTTTGTGTGTTTGCTTACAGGCAGCAGAGTCTACAGAGGCAGCATGAAGGGCGTCATCAGAAGAAACCACATCAACGCTGTCGACTGGTGTCCCAGCAGACACCGAGGCAGCAGAGGACATCTGGACAGAGGCAGGAGGGCCTTGAGATGGCATCCCACTCCCTTTTTTGGGTCCAACGACAACACTTCTGCAAAAAAAAAAAAAAATTATTCATTTATTGTTGTCCAGGAAGAACTGCTGGGAGATCATTTTGACAGTGAATTTTTTTACAGCCAACCAGATGGGCATAATATGACTGAAATAATTCTGTCATTGCTTTGAGACAATTCAGAGGGGGGAAAAAAGTAGAAGGACAAAAATAATAATTGTCTTCATTTTGCCAAATTCAAAAACATAGTCCACTTACACTAGATTTTTATTTTTTTTAATACACACACACACACAGTTAGTGCTGGGCACGTTAACTCAGCCAATGATTAACAGCAACAATGTTTTAACACATTAACGCTGTTAGTTCTTATTTTCTTAAATTTAAGTCCATGGCTCAGTAGCTATGAACGCACAGACAAACCTATTGGTCACGGAGGGCAGGATGTTGATCACTACAGGCTATAGAAGAGCATCATCACGTATCTCAACCAATGAGAGGGCATCAATGAGCATCTCTACCATTGAGAGCCTTTCGGCTGCTGCCTACAGAGCGATGAACTGTGAAGGAAGACCGAGTGCTTGTTATGCAGCTCGTTATTGTTCTTATCAGAGCAGTATGTGGTAAAGTGAACCCAGATAATCCTTAATTTGTTCATTTCTACTGATGGGTATAAGAGGACAACAGATGAAGGACAAAGCTCGGACAGCCAGCACAGAAAATAGGAGCTTTGTTAAAAATCCACGCCCGTACTATACATCTTTATTGGGGACAGCCATGCAAATGCATGGCAGGCACCTATTATTCTACACCTCGGAAGTGTGTCTACATTTCTATCTCTGTTAATGCGGCCCGAACCACAACATCTACCCCCACAAAAGTTATATCAAAACGACTGGCTCGGCCCCGTAATGTGTGCTATTACTTTTATTGGCATTTCGAGTTACCATGACAACGTATTTTGCAAACAAAGACGTAATATTTCACCAACTCCAGGAACTAGTTGGTGACTGCCCACTTATTAATCTACACCTGAAAATCGTATCTTTTTCAACTTTAATATGATCCGAACCGCAACGTGGACCCCCACAAAAGTTATCAAAACGAGCGGACCGGCTTCGGGAAGTGTGCAATTACTTTTATTGGCATTCGCAGTTACCATGGCGACATATTTTGCTAACAAAGATGCCAAATTTCCCATAGGAAATTAATAGGAGAAAACTCTTCACAGAAACTGAGTAACATATGGAGCCATTTTGGTCCAACATGCAAGGAAGGCAGTGAATTATGCACTGCATGAAAGGCACCTATTATTACCTATTATCACCCATTACTCTTATTAATTAGTAATAACAATAAATATTATTAATTTTAAATTATTAATGTTAATAATTATCTATTTTAATAATAATTGATATTAAAAGTAATATTTAATATTAATGCTAATATTGGTGTGAATATTATTAATATTGATGATTAATTAATATTTTAATAATAATCAACAAATTAACAATATATTAATAATTGTTAGTATTAGTAATTAGTTTTGATTATTAATAATTATTAATATTTAATATTAATAATAATGTAATAATAAATAGGCAGTCCCCGTCAAAGTTTCTCCAGGAACTTTCTAGTCTGTTACATATAATTGAACAAAGGTCAAGATTATTTAATCCAAAAATGTTCAGTCAGGTCATCTAGATGGTTTCTTTTTTGTGCCGAGACGTTTCGTCCTCCATCCAAAAGGCTTATTAAAGATTATTTAATTTTATCCACAAATTTCCAACAACACCTTATGGACATCTTTGGATGTTGACAGGTCTCCAAACTCCATTTACATTTTTGATATCTACTGAAACTGTGGTTTGAAGTTGTGAAGTTTTGGAGATAAGTAATGATGCCTATTTTCTTCTTTGTCACAGATTGTAGCTAAATGTAGTTCTCCACAGTAATGATTCAGGAGGACAAGCTCAGGGTCAAAAACTGTCCTATTCTGTTAACTGCTGACAGACAGTAATAATCCGTACAGAGGACCTGACTTAAGCTGGTTAGATTTTCTACCTGGATTATTGAGCAGCATCGGGACATAAATTAGCATGATGCTCCCTGATTTAAAAATGTTTCTTCTTGTAATTTTTCAGGGGGAAAAAAAAGTGTATATTTTTTAATTTGTTGTTAATCTGTTATGATTGTGGCTATGGGTTTGAAGGAATCTTTTTTTGATCTATAAAATTAAAAAAAATATGTATGTTACCCTGGCAAAAAGCTTTGGTTTCATATTTGATATGTTCATGTTACTAGAAATACTTTAATAGCTAGAGGATCACTGCTGTTAAAAAGTGCCTTTTTTGAAAATGTATTGAACCTTTTTATATAAAACAGTACCTTAAAATACTCTAAATGTCTTTTGAGTTATAATTTAATTTTTTGCATAATGTGATTAAAATGTTTAATCTTTGCCCAGCACACTATTGTATGTATGTATGTATGTATGTATATAT